CAAGTCTTAGCCTTATGCCCATATCTCTGGCGGTTGTAACACCTTACCGCCGGCTCAATGTATTCCTCGACAGTATGAACCGTAAAGCCGAGAGCAACTCTTTTTGGCAATGGCATGTCATGTCTAAACTGGAGTATTACATTACGTATGGGCTGCATTGTGGCACTTCCATCTTCATTTCTTACCCATCTTTTTTGTCGTGTGACTGAGATTACTTCAGCATCTTCAAGATATTCCAGTAGGTCATACTCACTGTATTCGAGTGGAACATCGCTTATCTTTGCTAGGGTCTTCATGTAAGACTGAAGTATCATCACATGTAGAGTCAATCCAGCGAGACTCTTGACCAGCAGCAACTTGTTTGCCGAGTACAAAGACCGTACTCCAACACAAAAACTTCCGTCTCTGTTGGTTCTTGATGATGTCACTTTCTCATTGATAGCAGAGATTATCTCAGATGCCATGCGATTAGGATTCACCTTCCAGAAGGAGTCCTCAGCAGCGATTGGTCTGAACACCACCGGTATACCCGTAGCTCGGTTCTTGTGATGGGTGACCACCGTGTAAGCTCCCTCGTCTTCCTTGGGTGTTTCTGTATCCATCTGTGTCATGTCATTAAGGGAGTACGTCGATGTAGCATCGTCGTTGTCAACCTCTTGTTCCTCCTCTGTACGCCTCTTCTTGCACTGCGAGGCCTCGCTGTTCTCTGTATGGGACGTCGATATTGTTGCTGAGCCTGCAGCAACTTGAAGTCGAGCGGGATGAATAAGTGGTGCTCCGCTTGGCGCTAGCGGCATCTCGTTGTCCCCCATATTCGGGCTTTGCCAGGTATGAGGTACGGGCCCGCTAAGGGGCAATTCTGATCGCGATGCGTAGTGTAACTCCGACTCACCGATGTTTAGCTGCCACTCTGGAGACAGTTCACCCACCGCACACACTGTAAAAAGATCCTGAACTCAATATAATAACTGAATTAAGAGAGACTCCCATTCACTTCTTCCTTCTCTATTCTATAATCTATTCTATGATGAGAAACGAAAGTCTTCTAGAATGCAGAGCAGCTGGCAGGTGGCAGCACAATGTCGTTATAGCGAAGCGTAGACAACACCCGCTCTCGCATTCATATACTCTTGTTGTGATCTTGATACACCTTCACTGTAATATAGTAATGGCCTCAACCAGTATTACTCTAACCAGAGTTATGACCGCGAGCATAGAAGCTGCTGACGAATGACTAGGGAGGTTGTGAGTGTAAGCAAAGAAAACAGCTACCGGTGGTGTTATCTGTCAGCCAGGTTGATTACATTACTTTTCATGATGCTAGCAATTATATGGACACCCTCAGTTTTTTTTTTGTCATGGCCATTAGCGTCACCATCAAGTCCCGGTAATGTATATGTACTTGTTTATGTGGTTAAGCTTTGGCAGGATAACTGAGTTGTTTTGGTTGACAGACACACAAACAATGGACAGACAGACCGACAGACCAAAATTTATGCATTGAGGTATCTCGAGAAAAACTATCGTTTTTAAAGCTGCAGCGTACACATTTGTGCCGGGCAGTATAGAAGGCTCATGTATCTTAGATACTATCTTAGATATTCTTTAGGTATTTCTGTCTTTATCGCGCTACGTCTTACACAATGAGTGTCTGCATTCTTGATACATTGAACAGCGAATCGTGCATCTTTAAATACAAAAGACTGCTATGGAACACTACCATGCAAAACAACAAACGTCGGTAGAACTTCGCCTCTCAAGCTGATTCTGCTATCAATAAGCCACTAGAACAAAACTAAATTACAGGGTACTTCTTAAAATATTACAGCGCTACATTTGATGAGGAGAAGAAAGAGAAGCAATTGACAGGACGGGCACTGGCTGAAGCTATGTTCATTGAAACGACACGCATTGAATTCAATGACAATAAAAAGCAACGAACGCATCCGCAATCAAGAATGAACAGTATAAATGGTGGGATTTGCACAAGCTATCAGTTTTTGTTTGGTATTTCCGATTCACTGGTATGCTATCGTACAGGTGTGGTGCTGACGCACGTGTCGCCATCCCATGTAATGAAAAGTGCTTCTGATAGTTGCTTTTACTGTTCTTCCTTGATTGCGTATGCGTTCGTTGTCTAATACTATAAAATACCATGCCCGTGTTTCGAGTACAAATAGCTGCAGTCAGCGTCCGTCTTGCCACGTACTCATCTTCCTTGTCCTCGTCAAATGTAGCACTACAATATTTTAAATCTGTATGTATCAACAACTAACTCTGCAGCGTGTTTCGCTCTGGCAGTGACATTATATTATCTGTGCCAGAGTGCTCCAGTGAGCACAAGCTGTTAGGTTTACGCTCTCCATTGGTGTAGCAGTATTACGAGACGGTGATCGAGCCATCACGACAAAATCAAGCTCGCACACAACTACGCGCTTCATCCAACCTCTTTTTTCTCTATGGTTACTTTCTTTTTATTTGTATCAGTCTGATTAAACCTGTTAATCTATAGCTACGGTACTGTGCTGCCTACTGCAATGCGTTCAGCGTCTTCCAATAAAAATATGATGCCTCTGCAGTATCGTAATCGAAGCTTGTCTGGCATTGCGTTTTGTTGCAGTCTCAAGATTTCGAGAATCAAGTTCGTTTGAGTTTTGTTTTTCTCACACATCAGCGATTTGAAAGATCTCGTTCAGTTAATATGCACCTACAAGGATATTCATTTATAATTAGTCGGGAGTCTCACAACAGCCAAACCAAAGAACAAGTATCACAACAGCCAAACTAAAGAACAAGTAAACCAAAGAACAAGTATTTGCGTAACATAAGATATTTTGGCATATGGTTTCGCTCACACTACAGTACATGAAGTAAGCGGACATCACAGAATTTAGTTGAAGGCCGATAGCTTCACACCCCATGAGGTCGTAAAACATTCTAGCAAGCTCAATCGTCCTTACATATATTTCGCCATGGTGAAGGGGTAAATTTTTGCGCTTTACTCGAAATCTGCATTTCAGCCCCACTAGCTTGTGACCATCCTGTTACAAATCCAACATGGCCGCCATAAAACCCCAATAACCTGTGCTTTACGTCAAAAACTGCCAGCCGTTTTAAGGACGCATCCCTTGAAGCCAAATACGAAGATTCTCAAGGGGACGAGAATTAGCAGAAGGTGCAGTATCACTGTGTTGGGGTGTCGAGATTTTGCAAAGGAGAGCACATTTACCCCTTCCACTGCTAGGTGTTTGCAGGTATAGTTTCTGCTGGTGCATCTCCACAAATTGACAAGTTCACAAGAGAACAACTGCTTCTTTTCATGTTTTTCATTCATCGCGAAAATTCGGCATTGAATAGCACGAACAGAAAAGAGGCGAAAAGTGGCATGCATACACTGCCACTAATGACCAAGCAGTATGTAGATATTAGGTCTTGGTGAAAGTGACCGCGGTAGTCGCAGCCGAGTGAAAGCAAACATATTGTAACAATAAAATGAATTTATTTAAAAGGTGAGAAGTGAAAGATACATGGCACCGTGCAATATATTTCCGCTTGTTGCGGTTCTTTCTCCTTAGTTCGAGCGAAGCCGAAAGCGTGCACTTCTGATTAAGGCTAACTAAAAAAAAAATGAAATTTGTGGGCACGCTCCTGGAAAGTACCGAAGGCGCATGTATTGTAATAAAGAAAACACAGGATGCCTCGAATTTTGATTACATATCCGTGTTTATTGAAAAAAAAAAAGAGGGGAAGCTGGAGGCTTGCGTTTATTAGGCTTGATATGACCGAACGAACCTAAAGTTTTGTTGAGGAAATTTGACTTCATCCAGCAGTTGACAAAATGACCTTGTCGAAATGTTGGTTCCAGGGACATTACGTGTTCAACTACTTCTCATTAACCCAAGGAGCAGTGAATTAGAAGATATTAAACAACGATAATTTGCAATGAATATGAACATTGCGACAAATCTGAAAAGTGTGATGCCAGCTAGTGCACACGTACGGGCGCACCACACGTGCACACATGTACACGTGTGCACCCCGCCTACTCAGCGTGCCGGCTAGTATTAAAAGTATAAAACTTCAAAAAGTCCTCATGCACACCAAAAATCTACTTAGGTCTAATCATCATCACCCGTCAAGAAGGTCCAAAAGTTATGCTGCTCGACTGCTAAATCAGAAGTCGGCAGAATCATCTAATCCCACCTGCGGCAGCCCAATTTTGATATAGGCAAAATACCAGAGACATGTGTACTTAGATTTAGGTTCATGTTCATAAACCCCACGTGGTCGGATTTCCAGAAACCTGCACTACAGCGTCTCTCGCACTAGTACTGTGGTTCTGGGATGTGAACTCACCACCACAACAACAACAACCATTATTATTATTATTATTATTATTATTATTATTATTATTATTATTATTATTATTATTATTATTATTATTATTATTATTATTATAACCTAATAATCATCAACACCAGAAAACCCGCTGCAGGGTAAAGGCATCTCCCAGCCCTGTGCTTCTATCCACCACGTTGTCACAGACTTCGTGATTTCGTCTGCCCACCTAGCTTTCTGCGTCCTCCTGGCGCTTACCTTCTACCTATTTATCTAGACTAATGTTTTCACTAAGTTTTTACTAAATAAAGTCATCCGTCTTCATGACTCTTAGGAATTTTCATATTAAAAGCTTTTATTGCTTACCAGACCATAACACACTAATAATTATTGTAATATTAATAGCAACCCTTAGTAGCTTTAAAACACATTTTAAATACATATCACCGTAGATATACAGGCACGAATGTTTGTAAGCCATTAGTGTGAGCACAATATTGACAACAATTTTAGAGCCAAGAAGAGGTCCTCGCGCTTTGGAAGTGCCATTCTTAACAGCTTCAGCTTTATTGGAATTGTTCACCATGTGTAATGATACGAGCAGGTAAGACCACTTGATCCATATTTACATGAATTCATGCTGTTTTACAGGCATTCGCTGCATCCTTGCAGGAGAGAAATAAAGCACGGATATTGATTAATCGTCCGGTCACAAGTGCATGCTAACATTGTGACCAACGGGCTTACAGTTATAAGGAAGCAGCATGACATGGCCACATATAAGGATACTTATCATCCTTGCAGTTTGTTTACAATACATAAAGGGGTGAGTAATAGAATAATATCACAGATAATCAACCTTTCTTTTATTGCACACGATTTGGCGAAACTTTTTTCAAAGTGTTTGAATGAATAATTATCTTCTCGCATATACGTGCCAAAGAATGCACCGCGTAAAATTCTTGCGCTTTCACTCAATAACGCTTACATTAGAGACCATTTCTGTAAATATTGGACGCTAAGAGGCCTAAATATGTCATTTATATTTAGAGAAGTCAGCTTGGGTGCAATACAAATGGTACAAACAGGCCTCGCCACAAAACCAGTAAGTAGTATGGCCAAGCCTATATATAGAGTATAATCGAAAACAAGACAAGGTAAATAAGAATTTGTTCGGGTGCATCAGGAGTGGCTTTCAGGGGTGGTCTACAAAGCATTTTAGTATATCGCAGGGAAATTTTACTTTTAAGTCGAGTTGCCACAATAAAGCTAAAATTGACGCCTGCATATCGTGGCACGTATTCCAACGAGATGTTATCTGGCTTCGCAGTTGAATGCTCACTGAATTCTCAATATCACAGGTGTTGATGCAGGTCTAATCTGCTTTAAGTTAACCACGTTATCTTTTGTAAAAATTTGGAATATGCTTGAGCCTCGCCTTCAAGACCAAAGCGCAATAGCAGCAAGGGCCTCAAATATTTAGCCCGTGTGCCACATACCACGTGCAGCTTGGCAAAAAAATAAAATGTCTGCCGTTTTAAAATAATCCTGATCTTATTTATTCAACCATTGCGATTAATAACGCTGTGTTTGGGTGAACTATTGAAACATATATGGTCTAAAGAATTTTTTTCGTGAGTTACCCTATATGGTCAGCATGTATTGAAGCAGCACGCTGAAAAAAATTCGAATATTTCAGAAAAGATATTCAGATTTCAGTCATTCTAAAGAACAGTATCGATATACTTTTAGAAAGCTGATGCCGAGTCCCCTTCAATAATGACCTGTGTAAAAGAAAGGAAACGCGTTTTTTCAAATGGGAGCGTAGGCGACATTTTGACATTGTGTTTAAAAGCTAAATTTCAGAGTGCATATTCAAGTACAGGTTATACAACAGCGCACGCTGCACAACACGATCAAAACAGCACACATAATAGGTAGACAGACATCAGTGGACAGCTCACAGCTTTGTATATATGGTTTGCTGTAACAACTTCCCGTTGAGGCGACAGACAGCACAAAAATCCCTTTGCTCCCTGGAGCGGCTGTATGATCTGACTGCAGCTTTTATATCGTTACGTGAGGTCAGATCTTCAATTTTTCATTTGCTAACCTTACTTTGTATAACCTTGCAAGTTGTTGCTGTCGCATTGTTTGAATTACCTTCGCGGCGTAAATTTACTTCTACAAAGTACGACTCCTGGCACCAGTTATTGCGTTGAGTCTCAGCGTGTCTTGTTCGTTGGCACCGAGAAAAAGAACATAGCGAAAAAAATTGGTCCCGTATCTGCATGGTAATCTGCAAATGTCGTCAAAAGACGATACTCTTGCATGTAGAGAGAGTGAACAAAATATTTATTTGATGTTCTGCGCAAGAAAATCGGTGAATGGTATTCTGGAGGCGCTGCGTTAGGGTGCCTCGAGCGTGCAGCGAAGGCGAACGAGCGCATCAAGTAACGTCACACGTGAGACATGAGCGCCATCTGGCAGTTTTTTTTTTTTCAAAAACAAGCGCGTGGCTCTCACCCGTCTCAGAGGTGATAAGGTGTAGAACGCAAGGCGACGGGCAGGTGCCACCACCATCTCATTTTAGCCAAGCATTGGAAAGACTCACCTGTTCGTGCAAGCGTTGCATGGTCAGCGCAGCGTGATAAGCTCTACGGTCTTTAAAGTTACCTATGTATGCCTTTTCTAGTAAAAGACGCACATGCAGAATATATGCGTGTTGTTATGGTGCCTCGGGTATGCACAGTGATTGCTTTTTAATTGACAATCGCACAAGCATGAACGCTGAAGCTTGAGCAACATTGGTGGGCGCTGCGGATGGGGTCGGTCGTTTGGCGATTCGACTGGTGCGTTCCGGTTTCCGGTATCGTTAAGGGTGGACAAACAAACAAATGTACAGACAGACAGACCAAAATGTTTGCGTCGGAGGTCCCCAAGAAAAACCACCGTCTTTAAAAATTACACTAACTCCCACTAAAGAAACCACGTGTGGATGCGAAGCAGCGGAAAGATTGTGAACGGCACCCGCAGGACGTCACCCTAACCAGGACGTCCGCATGACCTCACCTGCTTAAGGTGACTACGCCACCATTCAAAACCTCTACCTGTCTAACGCTACCGATGACCGTCGTTTCCACCTCAAGAACAGCGTGAACAAGAACATGATGGATGAATTTGAACACCTCCACAAAACTTGTCTCGACACCGTCACTCAGCGTTACCACCACGCTTTCCGAGAAGACGTCGATACGGAAACGGACTTCATTATAGCACTGATAAAAATCCGGTCCCTCAACGCACACGCCAGAGACATCAAACGTGGTCCCGTGCTAACTGAAACAGACGTGCTCTGTGTCACGTAAACGTGCAACGCCGCAGGACCAACGATCAATGGCTGCGAAGTGATTGTTTGTACTGAGAGAGAGGTTAATGAAATAGGAAGAAATAAAAACGACGTTACTTTCTGCCTCTCATCACGGGGGCTCGTTTCAGTGCCTTTAGGGTTTGCGAGGGGGAAGTAAAGATGGTGTAAAGTGGAGAAGAGCAAAAGAAAATTCACAGGCATGACAAGAGAGTGTATTGAGTCTTATCAGTGCAGACAGTAGCACGAAACCAAACCGTTCTTCTATAAGGTGGCGAGGTCCGCAGAAGAACATAACTCGAAGAAGGCTCGGGGGCTTTGCATCGTCGAGCACGCGGGTGTATTGAGCAAGCGTTTTGTTCGCCGCCGACTCGGGAGAGCGGGGGTAGAGCATATGAGAGGAGATAGAAATGGGATACGGATGCGCAGTGGTGGTGTAGTCATGTGTACTGAGCAAGCGTTTCGTTGCCATCACCACCGACTCGGGAGAGAGAGGGCAGAGGGATGTGCCTGCGCGGTGGGAGTGTGAATTCCGTACACCGAAAGCCACGTCGTAAGCTGCTTCGCGCCCCGCCGCGGTGGTCTAGGGGCTAAGGTACTCGGCTGCTGACCCACAGGTCGCGGGATCAAATCCCGGCTGTGGCGGCTGCATTTCCGATGGAGGCGGAAATGTTGTAGGCCCGTGTGCTCAGATTTGGGCGCACGTTAAAGAGCCCCAGGTGGTCGAAATTTCCGGAGCCCTCAACCACGGCGTCTCTAATAATCATATCGTGGTTTTGGGACGTTAAACCCCACATATCAATCAATCAAGCTGCTTCGCATCAAAAACGAAAGCCAAGGTGCTTGACGCACCTAATTCATGAAACAAAACGCAGACCACATAGAAAATCGCGAGAGGGTGATGATGGAAGCAATAGGCCGCACGATACTGTATATAAGATGGCGCCAGAGTATAGCGCATCTTCATCTTATCGGCGGCTGCAGTGATATGTGCCCACACACAGACTCTCACGATTCCAAGCGCACTGCACTTGGCTCCATCTGCAACGTTTCGCGGCAATGGGTTGTCTCCGCGCCAGCTAATGCATAGTGAAATGAAAACGCGTATAACCACATAGAAATCTCACATTAGAAGGTATTGTAATCATCGTTGACATTTTATTTTCATTAGCCACTTGTTTTTTTTTTCTTTTCCAAGTACTTTTAAAGACGTATATAATTTCAACAAGACATTTTTCATCAGCAGGTCAGCTTAACCAGGTGTATAGGGAATGGTTCTGGGAAGCGCAACTGCACTCATATCAGGCTTTAGCCGAGAACAAAGGGTCTGCAATATATTTTCCTGTGAGGCACGCGCCTTCATAATGTTTCATTGACTGTATACTAATGTAGTGCCATTAACATTACTTTTGTAGGTAATTAAAAAATCGGGATGCTGAAAGCATGCCAAAACATACCACCATATTGGTGATTGATGGTCACCGTGAGTCATTGCGCATCTTATACGGAGATGTGGGACTTCACATAGCCTCCACCAAAAGATACATATTAAGGCCCAGATAGCATATGATACAACTACACAGAAAAATACATCTACAGTCAGCCAGAAAACGAATGGCAAATAAAGAGAATGACTCGAATTGAAGCGAGCTTTGATATTTAAAGATACAAATAAGAGCCTATCTACAAACAACCGCCGCGCTAGGCCAAGCACATAGAATAAGTGGCCTTTACTGAGATAATATTATGTAGGATTTAAGGTCCCAAAACAACGATATGAATATGAGAGACGCTATAGTGAAGGGCTGCGGAAATAACTCTCTGGCGTTCTCTAACGTGCAATGACATCGCACAGCACACAAACCTCGACCCTTTCCACTCCATTGAAATGCGACCACCACATCCATGATCGAACCCGTGACATTTGGGTCAGCTGCCGAGCTGCACCACTGTGGCGGATGGCGCTCACTGAGACTCAATCAAGAAATATAACTCGCCCTTAGGGCTTATAATCAAACTCAGCCACACCAAAATTTTTCTCAACTGCTCTCACTCGGGCTCAGACAACGCTATTTTTTTTTTCAACTCGACTGCCTCGGACTCAAACCCAACAAGATGTTGCTCAGCCGCACTTACTCAGGCTCCATCTCAGTATGAGCGAGTGGACTCCTGAGTGAGTTAGTTAGCCAATGTGGCCAATTGTTGTCGAGTATAGTTGCTCCAGTATATAGGCTGGATGTGACATTATACATTACGGGCTCGGCGGCTGCAATGCATTGAAAGTAAATACGAAAATCGATTGATTTCTCATTTGTTTCCCATATTAAAATATATGTACTACATTTTATTAAGAATACCTGTCTCGAGCTGCAAAACTATTTCAATGAATATATTCTTGTTACGGTCAAGGACCATAATGACCTGTTTCCAGCAACGCTGCGAGTATTGTTGCCGCAATAATCATTTTGTTATTCACTTCTCAGAGCGGACACCAACGGTGAGACCGAACAAACAAATAGCGACTCTCCTGTTCCACCAGAACGAAGGTGAGTTATGCGATTTGAAGTAGCTGGAACATGAGTATATTTCGTGCATTTCGGTATGAATGAATGTAGTTTGCCAAACCTGTAGGTGCGTATATTATGAATATATAACTGTAAGCAAACCATTTTGCTTGGTATGAGTGTATTGATTCAAGTGCTGAATCAATTACGCATAAAACCTTGAAATTGAAATATGCGCCCGATAGAGAGATTGGAGCTCGCTACCACCACGTAGCTGCTCTATGCTGCAGACGTTTTAACTATTATTTCTTTTTTTTTGGCTTACTAGAAATTAAAAAGTGGCGCACTTTCAATGAGGCCAAGATAAATCTAGAATGACATAATCTTAAAAAAAAGACATCAGCGCACCCTTTCCCTATTTTTGAACGCCATAGTGTCTCGCGCGCAAACTGAATCAAAGTCCAAAGCCAATAACCTCGCAACGAACACAAGAAATATTGAGCCACCCATTCAGACCTATAACTAATTTCATTGCTTCTTCAGAATTACATTTTTAAACCTTGAAGCTGAATTGAGACATTTTATTAAGTTGCATAGCCGTTATTTTAGGTCATGTAGCCGTTGAATAAGCGCACACAGTCACATTTTTAAGGACGACTGTACACTTGCACAGTATCCGCGTTATCACAGTGGTACATGGTAAAAAGTCAGCGGCAAGCTACCTGCTTTTAGCACCACGAATGATTACATGTTTGCACCAATGCCCCTAGGTCTCAATCCAAGCGTTCCAGCGATCGTCTCTGGTAGTTGTGACGAAGTGGCAACATCGCAGCTCACGCACACCTAGCTGCAGTCTAGGCGTGTGCTGCAACCTGGCGTACGCCTTCCCCATCGATCTCAATATGCGCTTCTTGAAAGCACCTCGTCTTAGGAGCAAGGAATAGTCGACACAAAGAGCCACAACTTAGCATCACTCCACACAAAGAGCAAAGCATTATTACAATCAGGCAAATTTTTTACGCTGCTAAGCCCACAATGACGATGTCCGGGCACCAAATGGTAAATTTTGAACTTTGCAGATCACGTCACCTCATACGACGCTTGGCGTCATCCCCTGCGCAAAGGCTGTGGCAATCGTCTAATTATTCAGTGCGTCATTATTTTTCTAGTATGTATAATTCAGGTATGATACATGGATTCATCGATGAGAAACCGTGAACATGACACCTAGAAGACGACCAGGCAATTTCGAACACACTGAAATCAACATTCACCCATTTGTTCTTAAATAAGTACGCAGAGAAACATTCGTATTGACACACAATACAAATAAGGTGAAGCTCCACTGAGTAGCATTTATGTAAATGCTGCCGTTAGCTACTTCATAAAATTCTAAAAAAACATTCAAAGAAGTTAAAATGGGAGTCATTTATTATGTGAAATTTTGTATGAACTGTAACACTTGAAAATCCTATAGGACGAGGCTCCCCGCGCTAAATGGGTGTGAGTATGTGGCGTGTTGATGTCACATCCTCGCCACACCCACTTTCTCGGTCCTTCCTCCCGTTGCGCCTGCTGGGCGCCGGGTTAGACATCGTTCACGCGGCTTTCATCACAGGATAGGGCTCGCGTATAGGGTGCGCTTGCTCGAGCGCCTTCCAGGTGTCTCTTGGGTCCTGCCTCAGCTTTCCTTCTCTTCTCCACCATAAAGAGAGCCTGCTTACACCAAAAGTCACTCTTTTAGGTGAGCTTTGGAAAGTATACGCCTGCGCAAGCACTGTTTTACGGTAGTTTACCCTGTTCAAGTTTAGACCAGAAACGGTCACCCGAACTTTGTGACTCGATTTGACATTGTGAGCTTAATAAGGTCAAGCTAGTGCAGCGTAATAGCTAAATCTTTCCTGAACTTCACCATGCAGCAAAGCGGATTAGTGACACACGGAGCCGAACAGAGCCGAAAAAACGAAAACTATAGGCAAATTTGTGTACTACCCACCATTTTCATGCAGACTCTAGTGTCGTGCGTTGCAGCTCGCACAGACACAATGGACAGACTTATCTCAAGTGCATATATAGGAAACTCTATGTCCGTGGCCACAGAGAGTTCACGTCAACTTGCATGGACATTGCTTCTTAATATAGGTCGGTGTTCTGTTCATGTACATCTGATCGGTTCACAGGTTGATGAACGCAATACCGTGACTAAATAATCAAGAAGCGAGCGACTGAGACAAATCAGTTGCTGCGCGACCACAGCCATATTCATGACACTCGACCACTTATGACCAGTCGCGTTGTGACTTATTGCTCGCGCGACGAGCGCAAGTCACAGGTGCCAATGACTCCTAAATCTCGCATTAGGGTAATCTTACAGTTTCTGTGCACATTGCACTGAAACTAACACAATGACACGTTTATTAATTCGTTATGCCAATGTTTGTAAATAACTTTAATTGTAACAAATATTGTAAATTGAGAAAAACTATAGTAATTCACTTCTAACCGTGATTTAACAACAGTGCAAAGAACCAGTATATGAGAGAAATTTAGAAGTCAGAGCCGGTAGCTCTCTTCTGTGTTCCGTCCCTATTTATTGATGTGGTCTATGCACTGTTAATACGCAAGCCCAAATCAGATTTTACTACAAATACAATACATGCACTCTATGATATATATCCACGAAGTGGGGCAAATGCAAAACCATGAAGACGATTCTGACGAATAAATGGAACAGTAACGTTTGCTACTTGTTAAATTTTTTATGATTCTCTTCAGTGAACTGTGAAGCATGCGCAGGAACACTTTATTGTACAAAATACGTAACGACGGCCTCAATCCTTGGCGTTGCATTCAGCCTCTCACTAGCCTAAGACAACTGAAACATTGGAAACCATCGATAGTCAAAGATGCGACGATTATTAGCCAACTGACAAAAAACTTGAGTGGAAGGGGTGGCAGTTTTCCGGCCAATGTCTCATGTTGCGATGTAGAGGGTAGAGTGTGTGGTAGTATCAGTATTGTAAATATTGTTAACAGGGAATGTGTTTATCTACACATGGGATGAAGTGACGTAAAAAAAAAAGAGCAGCGTATTGCAAGACAAGCTCAGTCCGGTTCGTCCAACCACACATTCCAAGCGCCGGCTCCATTACTCTTCTTCTGTGTTCAGTACACTCGTGCATCTTCGTTGTACTACATACAAGGTGCCCAGAGGTAGTTTAGCTAGTCAGCTGAGCTATCGCTAGGCAAAGTTTAAAAAATTACGTTGCACTCTAAAGTGATGGGACCAAATACATGTCAACTGTTGGCTAGTTACACCACTTTTTCTTCGTAATTGTGTAATTATACATGTTCAACACTGAAGGTTTTGAGGCAATGAAGCCAGGCCTAAAAAATTGAAAATGAACCTGTTCATCGCCTTCCAAACGTTCCATTCGACAGTTTTTAACTTTATATCTGTCATGATTAGTCGTTTCGCTGCTTACTACAGATGCCCAATAAATAAAAAAAAATAACACGTGAGAAGCCTGCTTGCGCACCTATGCGCACTGTGTTTGTATTTGTCCCTTGCGTTACGCCTGCAAACGAACCATATATCCCTGATTGATTGATATGTGGGGTTTAACGTCCCACAACCTCCATATGATTATGAGAGATGCCGTATTGGAGGGCTCCAGAAATTTCGAACACCTGGGGTTCTTTAACGTGCACCCAAATCTGAGCACACGGGCCTACAACGTTTCCACCTCTATCAGAAATGCAGCCGCCGCAGCCGGTATTCGAACCCGCGACCTGCTGGTCAGTAGCGGAGTACCTTAGCCCCTAGACCACCGCGGCGGGGCAACCATATATCCCTGCGCCGGGGGTCTTCCTTATCAGCATAGTTACGATGGTGGTGGCTGTGCTATGACACACGTGACAACATGAAGGATAACCATTGCTTCTGCTTATTGCTGTCAAGAACCGTTGCAAGGGAAGCACACATTTTGTACGCAGAACGTTTCTTTCTGTTTGGCGCACACCTTAGATAAAGAAAAAAAACACTATTAATTAAAGTATTCATACATTTAGAAAGTGGCTCATAGGATGTTTAGCAAACCGATCCACAATCTTTCTCTGTAAAGATTTTCGCCAAGTTCGTTTCTTCAAACCTTATTTTTAACTAATCATGCCTAATCAGGCGATTAAGCGGGAAGCAAGAAACAGTGCGACGTACTCCACGCGATCATAAGTAACGTTCATTTTGTCTCGTCGTCATGAAGTGCCTCGACATAATTTTTAGATGCGAAGCAGTTTATGGGCAGTAGCTTACGCACACCGGTCCATTCCTTTGTGCGTAAGCACCGTTACTGTGCCTGAGCAACAGCTGGCCCAAGCACTGCCATTACGTGCTTACGCAGCGTGCTCTGGCCTGTGTGAGGGGCTGAGTAAGGTGCTGCGGCCTCCCCCCCCCCCCCCCCCTTCCTTACACTTCCTCAGCAATCATGTGATGGCATCAGGGAACGAGACTTGCATTCTAGTTCACTATAAACCTTTTCAGAGGGGGGGGGGGGGGAAACACCGCCATGACGGGCTGCGCGCGGGAGTACAAAGGCCAAGGGCGCAGCCTTGTCAGTGCATTTTTGAGCGGTCACGCCTATCTGCGCAGCCCTTAAAGGACTATGGTAGCACCCAGGGAGGCGTTTTTGAAAAGGTCTATAGACCTGCGTGAGCGATTCCGTGGCGGCGCCGGTCAAAGACATTCTGCAGACACGTGATGAACGCACGGGCTCCCTCGTGGCGTGACGATGAACCCGCGAGGCGTGCTCCAACAAGAGTTCGGGTCGAGTAACGGCAAAACAGAAACTACAGTGAATTCATGGTGTGCTCCAGTTGCAAGGACGCCTTCACATCGGGCAAGGCGCCCGCGATGAACGGAAGGCGACCCATGCGTTGCTTCGTATGCTACTCATGGCCTTATTTAATAAAAGATGATCTAATTTTTTAAAACTCTGTCTAAAGATAGAGGGCTCACCCTGCATTGTATACTCGTACTATGACATGGGCTAACAACATTATACTCGGGGACAACTTTCTGTGACAGTGAAGGGAAAGCCATTGTAGGAAGGCTACGAAGCCAAAGTGGGCATGTGCCACCGCTGTAGAATATAGTGCCACACATGCGCCTGTGTTTTCAGCGTGAAAATAATAAAAAAACAGTATTTTCTAATAGATGCTGTTTATAAAGAGCCACTGCATGCATCAAGCCGATATTCATATCTGTTGTTGTTTTCCTAAGAGTCCCTTCGCGTTTTTGTGCTTCTGAAAACATCGCACGTGTTACGTGCACCTTACAGTCGGAATGGCGGCTTCGCCTTTAGGTAAGCGTGAGTCGCCCCCCAGCTATTCCAACGACTATGACGACTCGTTGAAGAAGCTTGTGTTGAATTTAACTAACAAATAGCTGTGTAAGCAGACGTATCAAATTCTGTGCAGTGGGATTGCCTGAGCCTGGCCGTCATTCGAAACACGAGCTGAAGCGCGGACTACATCGCGGTGCACAGAAGCAGCAGCTCCACCCCCGTAGCTTTCTCTCCATTGCTACAGAAAGTTGTCCCCGAGTATAATGTCGATGCGTGGCGCAGCGAGGAGCTCACATACTCACAGATGACAGAGACCATACATGAAACATTGGATGAGGCATATTGCGTGACATATTTATTCCTAACTTTTTTCCGCTTCGTAGTATCAGAATATGCGCACATATGAAAAACTCCTTACGTTTGAGATCACTAACAATTTTCGTATTGTAGTCTTCCAGAACAGAAACCTTTGTTGTTAACGCCTCTAATTATGAATTGCTCATACGATGAAGCGAGAGAAAAAAGCCAAGTGGAATTATTTAGAAATATGGGCATCAATGCGCATTCTGGTTACATCACTGTCAACGAGACAATAAACCTCTTTTTCGTGTTGGTAGAGGGCGCAGTAAGTATACTTGTTTTCAAAGCTAGTATTCAAAGAGATACATCGATCTATGTCCGTCCGTCCGTCTGTCCGTCCGTCTGTCCGTCTGTCCGTCCGTCTGCCCGTCCGTCCGTCCGTCCGCCCGTCTGTGTCTGTCCGTCTGTCTGTCTGTCTGTCTGTCTGTCCACCTACATCTGAGTGCTCTCGTGGTCCCCTCCTTGACTTGGTGTTCAACAGAATTTGTATAGGAGTATGTGAGTACATGGTGAAGATGGCTGACAGGTCATGACATGAATACCGTGACATGCATGCCGCGTAAATAATGGAACTTTTGCTCATAGTGACGTACCCACGTACCGTGGCTCTTCGTATACAGCACAGCTAATTTAAAGTTCTTGCATCAGCCCAGAACTACGGAAACAAAAATCATAAAGTGTTTCAGCATGGATTTAACTAGAAAAATGCATCTTGTTTGTTATAGTTGGGTATAGTTTTCGAGTAGCACAAAAATATTACAAATTCACTCACATGACTTGATTAGATTTAGTCCAGGCTTAGTATAGTCCCTTTGAAATACGACAATGAATGCATGTTTACGCTTAAGCGGCGGCCAGCTTCTGCTGCCGCCTATCCTGTTCAGTACTCCTAATGACGCCAAGAACCACCTTTAGGACGTGGGTGCGAGTGTGGACAGAAAACACAAGCTTCCTTTATGTAGCCACAGGTGTACCCTGGAAACGGCATGCGGCTATCAAGGCGACTCGTACAGTTCGGAAATGGGGACAGACACAAGAAGTGCTCGTATGTTTAGTCTGCACCGGACCAAGTCAATGACGCTGGACTGCAGGCCAAGAGTATATGATGCGTAGATGAAGGAGGTGGGAGCACTTTCTACTAGAGAGAAAGCCGGGTGGCCAGGTCGATTGTTCTATGATGGTCACAAGCTCATGCGGGTGGCAACTTAGCAGCAGATGTCTCATGATGAGCCTCAAATGATCCGAGGCGACCACAACATAGAAAATTACTATGGTGGCGTGATGCACTTTTTGTGCCAGCGCACCTCCCGTCATTCACCTGGATTGACACGTGAGATGGAACACATTGCAGGGAGACATCGATGCCACTGCCATGAAAGGTATGTGGCTTGCTGGCCTGCAGTTAGACTCCACCGCCTGGCCACTCTGGTTTCGCCACGGCCAGCAGCGTGAATCTTTAGTCGCATGCGACAGCCATGGGCTGCCATCAGGTGGATCAGTTGGAGACCGGGTGGACTGCTGCGGTAGACCAATTTGGACGGGTACAAAGAAGACACGGATAACACGACACTCACTGGACTCACAACTAACTTTATTTTAAAAAAAAGTTTCATATATTTATAAACCCACGTGCACCCGAGTGGCAAATAACCGAATCAACAGTCGATAGAAACTTATCAAAGAACTAATTTTGTGCGCACTCAAGTGACATGATAATCAAGGCGCTATAGGAGTCAACTGCCAGTCCCTACCCGCATTGCTATTTAAGAAAAAGTTGCTGGATGCACTCAACCGGTAAAAATGAGTCATGTGCTGAGCTTAGACACTTTCAAAAAAGTTGTGCAGTCGAGGGTAATTGTAAGACCTTCCAATATAAACTTGCATGCGCTTCAAATGGAAGTAAGTAAGAAGAATGAGAGCGTAACAAAAATTAAAACACTGCAAATGTTACGCTCTTGTTGATACTTAGCGTCACATAGCGGAAGGTGGGTCGTAGTGGAGACAGTTTGAACGGCTTGTAACGCATGACGCAATGCTGGGTGGCTTCACCCAATTGCAACGTCGTGCGGCGTGACTAGCGTAGTCACAGCCAAACATATACACCGGTTGTCCTGAAAATTCCACCAGTCCACTTTATTAGCTGGCCCCGTCCGCGTTGGAGGACGCACTCCATGGAATGTCTGGTGATGAGGCTGTATGGCGGGCTGCACTTTAAACACCACAACTTCATAGAGAAGGTTTAGTTGGTGGTCTAACAGGATGTGGGCTATTTCTTGCTAGGTCATCTGCCGGAGCTGAGGTGGAAAATTAGAAGAGGGCCGCTATATGTGCAACGAATGAGCTATGGGCACCATAAATAGCTGGCGTGAAACTCCCTCCCGAAGTAACGCTCTCCTTTCTGCAAGCAATGCGGACTGCACGGCGATGACGGCCAAATCAGTATGGTGTTCGTAGCGCGATGAAGGCTGACCAGACAACGAGCGCTGCCGGCGTATATAGCTCCTCGTTTGTCGGGCACCAAGTAATGATTTGTGCCACGGACTATGGGTTCATCTAAAATAGCATGTTGAGGCCAGCATCCTCCGTGCGTTTCAAGACATATTTGATCATGGCAGGAAGTATTTGCTGAAACATGTGCTGAGGTGTGTTTTGAGACGTAGTTGAGTGGATGAAACAGGGTGAAAATTCAGGTAAAGTAAAGGCGTAACACTCTCTAGCACTTTTAAAACACGTTTATAGAAGGCTGACGTAAGGTCCGGCCAGTTGTTCAAATCACATCTCAATTCAAAGACTCCTAGCACGAACGGCCTCCATACGCTATGCGCGGTAAACAGAGACCAACTAAACAGTGCGCGAAAAGTTGCCCTACTGAAGAACCGCAACTTAGAGGAGCACTTTAATTTAGTCAACTGATCCACAACAATGGTGCCTTCACCGACTTGTCCGGTTCACCTATCTAAAAACCGGTTCACCTATTTTAAAACAGCGCTTTGCCAAAACCGACGTGATCATACAAGCTCACATGCAGAAACTCATTAAAACACCACCCGTAAAGTCCCCCAACGATATGATGCCTTTACGACATGGTTCAATCTCAGACGCGTGCCCTCAAGACTCTCGGGTTCACATTCGCAAACCGACCTTGGATTTACCTCCAATTTTCGTCAACTTCCTGTACTTTCTACACGCGGAATAAGGGCTCAAAAATAGTAACAGTGTAAAGGATAACGTAAAGATCGGTTCGTGAATACTAGCCAACTTTGTATATATCAAGCGCAATAAACACGTAAAGCCGATAAAGAAAACTCGAAGTATAAGATAAGGTTGGTTTGTGAATACGGGGCTCATAGTATCGGAGGACAAATACTTTACGATGTTCCACTTCATCCTGATGAAGTCGCTTCCTCACGATATCGGCCTCGACTTCAAGAAGACCATCGCACGCCAACGTACAGAGCAACGAGGCCGAGATCAAACCAACAAGACCAACAAGGACAGCACAGCCAGTACCAGAGGACGAGCATTAGGTTTTTACTGCGTTTTGTTCAAATGAAAATAGAGGCTCGAGAGCAAACAACCCTGCACGTTTCTGTAAAAGAGGACGCGTCGACAAGTCAAGTTAAAGATTTTCGCACCAGCGTGACACCAATCAACCGCGGATTGTTTTACCTCATCCGTGAAACCAGCACCGCGAAACAATGCCTGCTTTATTCTGTATGTGTTTGTGAGAAAAACACCCATATCATAGAGCAGTGCGAGTGTCCGATTCCTCTTAACGAAAAGGAAAAAAAGACTAACTGCGGCTCGATGCTTCCGCTGTACATTGCAGCATTATATGGCAAAACATTGCAAGAGAAAGGTCAAATGTACGAAGTTTCAAGAGACGCCACGCAGATACAATGTGTGACCCGCGATTGATGAAATCGTGTACCGATTCCTAGATGCTACAAAAACCGGTACAATTGAAAGATATTGAAACTGAGAACTCCAAACGGCGCGTAAACCTCCAAACTGCTGTTAATTGGGCAGCCATCTAGCTGCCCAACCAACAAATGTTTAGTAAGTTTTATTCGACTGAGGCAGTCAGCGCAGGTTTGAGACGAAGCGATTGGCTGAGAAATTGCATATTATAGTACTTTATCACCAGAGCCTTCCGGTAGAATATTTGGAAGCGCAACATGGTGAGAGAACTTCCCAGTGAACACTCGTCGCTCTAAGTTCACCGCGTAGTGGAACGCCACAACTGATCGAAGCTCTCGTCACGACAAACATATGTGACTAGTCTCTTCCACGGGCGCATAAAGGTATCATCGACAAGCTTGTACAGCAAGGCTATTGCTTCTCCGATATTGATGAAGCCGGAAGCCCAAACGCGGTCAATCGGCAGTGATTATTATTGATCACTTGCAACAGGAAATACACAGAATTAGGACAATGAGCTCAAACGCATCCAGACGGACTTAGGATGGACGCTAAAAGGACTAGCAAGCTCTTGAACCAATGCCACACAATGAAACGAGGGCATCGTCCTCAAAGCCTCAGCGACCAGCCATGAAAGTACAGTCACCAGAGTCAAAAGCAAGGGGCGTAAGAAGACCCCCAACAAAATCCCAGAAGCAATTTCAGTCGAAGATGTGCCCAATTTGTGGTCAGAAGTCAATGGCCACCATGTAACTCCAGAAGATAGAGAAGTTCGCTTCGAACTATTTACGCGTTATTTACATGATACAGTGTATGCAAGCTTCATAGTTGTATATCTAAAAACTGAAAGAAGTCCCGAAAGCCTTGACATTGATATGACATCATGACACCGACGTATTGTCGTAAAGTAAAAGAAATGCTGCGTTTTCACGAAACAAGTTATTTTTACTATGAATTTCTCCACTATAACGATATATATAATGATTGAACTGGCAGATAGCACATTTGAAAAGAAAATTGCCTTTACTAACGTTTCGGCCGTCGCACGGCCGAAACGTTATATATATATATATATATATATATATATATATATATATATATATATATATATATATATATATATATATATACTACGACAGTTATAACTGTAGTACTCTGCTATGTGGTGATCTTAGTCTTTACTTACTCGACAGACAAAATCCATGAGCACATCATCATTAAATTATTGCTTTAAGCTTTGCGCTAGATATATAGGGGCAGAAATTTTTTATCCACCTAAAATTTTATGTTGCGGTCAATTTGATAGAAAATAAATGAGTTTCTATCGTAAAGGTTTCAGCATATGAGCAATGAGGCAACTGTTTGTAATGGAGCGAATAAATAGTAACCTATTTCGCTAAAAATAAAACACACTAAATTGTTTGCATGAACTCAACAACTCTTTCAGAAAAATGATTCTTCTGAGCCACTGCTGCTTTGGACTCAGGGAGGGCCTGGTTTGTCTGCACTGTTTGGTCTGTTTCTGGAAAATGGTCCAGTGGCAATCAATGAAAGTGGAAACCTTTCACCAAGAAACAATACCCTGCAAAAGAACATGAGTGTCCTTTACGTTGACCTGCCCGTGGGGGCTGGATTCAGTTTCACAACCCATAATGATTCATACGCCAAGTCTTTGAACGATATTGTATTCTCTGTCATGGAGTTTCTCAAGCAGTTCTTGCAGCTGTTTGGCTACTACAGAAACAGGCCCTTCTACCTTGGCGGAGAATCCTACGGAGGTATGTCAATGGCTTCTTACATATATATTTTTTACAACTTGTTTTCTCTGGGTATCACAGCACCAAAAATTTCCTCCGGAGTTAATCTTTCATCATAGTTGAGCTGAAAATTGATGGGCATAGAGCAAGATAACAATAGTAAAACACTTACGATGGGCAGTAAATTAGCCGAAATAGGTGAACGAAATTCTCAGCATAAATATATTTATATAATTTATTCCTGCAGCCAAGACCTTCATGATGAGGCGGGCCGTATTAAAAAGCTGAGTCGTAATAGCGATCGGCGGAGCTTCCTTTTAACAAGCCATGACACCGAAATTTAGAGCCTGAATTATGAATTGGCCGTTACCCGTGCACGCACACAACAAGCTGGCGAAAGTTGAGCGCATCTGCCACGACAGAAAATCGGTACAGGAAATTTATAATGTATGAACTTAACTCCACATTAGTGTTGAAGCCACTTCTACTCCGTACAAAATAATTCAAGTTTTGAGGAAGAAGTGATTCCGTATGTTAACTGCATTTCACACATACCTTAACGCATCCCGAGAAAGTATGGAGTACAAGTGGTGCTTGCAGCAAAAAAAAACAGGAAGGGGGGGGGGGGTGCATCAAGGTAAAAAATATGCTTGGAAGCGAAGACAGAGAAAAAAAGATTGTATCATTAAGCACCTACGTAAAGAGCAGTTCGTAGATCGTGCGAAAGTGGGGTATAACACAGTATTCCTATGACGTGGGGTTATGCATCTGGCAGATGCCACAACACGAGGCTAAGGGAACACTTGCACAGCCCAAAAGGTCCCCTGAGCACTCATTTGGTCATCCATTGCCAAGATGGAAGAAACTCGTGGGAAAGCTTTTGGCTGTCCCATAGTCGAGTACTGTGCACAGCGGATCGATTGAATTGAATTTAAGCGGGATGGCTCAGTGCTCTCCCATAGTTGAGCACGAAGTACTCGAAATCGTTACAAATTTTTTTCTAAACACCTCGCACTCTAAATCGTTAACAACTTTTTTCTAAACACACTCTCAGTCGTTAACAACTCTTTCTAAACACCGGAGTAAAACAGCGGGAGAAATTGTGGAAGCGCACTGAATTGAAACGCTAGAGAAATGTGAATCAGCCCTCCTTCCGTTGCTTTGTTAGAAAATAAATTTCACTCCTGTCGTGTTACCTTTGATGAGCTTTTTTCTTTTTTTAAATAGTTGTTTGCTAGATGTGCGTTTGACGTAGTGTGTTTCTGTTAGCGCTGACCCGAGGCATTGTAATCTTGTAATAACTATCTCAGATACTGGTGCCACTTTGGAATCGTATCTGTCCATACCACCTGTCAAAGAGTCTCCCGGCTTGTTTTCCTCGTTACTAGCTATCCTGGACCCTGAAGGGTTCGCGTGCCTCTTAAAAAAATCTACTGCGCGTCCTGAAAGTCGCCAGCCCACCTCATGACCTAGCCACCCATCGAAGTGAATTCTGTCTCGTTGAAAACCACCCCACCTATTCACCTCTCTGTTTATTTCCACCACCTCAAAGCATTTTTCTCGACTCATCCGCCATATCTATTGGTTTGCGTTGACAACCACTCTTTGCAGTTTGCCGTCACGCACCGGTACCTCCGGTATCGTCCATATCACTACCTATTTGACCAAACGAAGCAGCGCCGCGGTGCGGAGTAAAGAGCCGGCCACGCCCATCTTTCGTAACGCGCTCTCTCCGTGCCATTGGGATAGCCGGAGAGAAACACGCCGCGCGCGCGCCATCTCGGAGGCTAGGCTATTTCAAACCACCTGCATCCTGCTGAGATATCAGCGTCCACAAAAAATACAGACACTTGCTGCACTCACGGATTAAAATAGGACGTTTGAAGGGCGTAGCCATCTGCACATGCAGCGTCCCTTATAGGGGCTCATAGAACTAAGGATTTTATCGTGGTATACGCCTAGGTAGTGCTGACGAAAGCGCCGTTTCTGACGAGCTTGTGCATTACTCTAGGTAAGCCGACGGCACCGTAGTTACCTACGTCATCGCGCTCTTTTCCCCGTTTACGATTGCCGCGGTGAATTAAGCAACGTTCGCCTATGTGTGGTCCGAAGCTTCAAGAGATTTTGGAGAACAATTGCTCTGGGGTGGGTTCTCGAGCAACTACCAAAAAAAAAATTAGCAATAGTTTAGCTCAGCAATGCCACGATACAAGATAATGTGGGTTAAAATGAAACATGGGGCGAAACGCAACTTTAGACTAAGCCGAACTGTATAGCTAATACAAAGAGTACCTTTCTTTGTTTCTCTAGTTCAGCAATAGGTGCTGGTAGACGTCTACATTTTTTATGGGTAGACATAAAATCCTTCATTGCACACAGCGTTCACGTGGGGAAAACTACGTGGCTGGTACCGGTGTGTTCATGACACGTAAAAAAGGGGCGAAATTTTGCTTGGTCAAATGTTGTGGTCCGTGCATGAAGCTACTCCTATGTCAGTACAACAACTTACGTATTTATGTCGTCACAGAATACTACTAGCTATACAACACCAAAGTTTGGTTCGCTTGGTGCACTGTGCCAATGCGGAATTTTCTTTGAATTCGCGCATGTGGGAGGGGCAAAAACTTCGAAAAAGGAATCGAAGTGCCAAAGAGTGTCTAATGACGTGAACCATTTACTCCTGCTAATTACATATTATATATTTTGTTTAGGACAGTGAATTTGTACATAAGAATAATATGTAAAGCTTTATGGGTGGAAAACGACATGAAAAAGCTCTGAATGCTATTGAGGACAGCACTCCCTGCATTCGCTCTACATTGTGGCTGTTCCACGATCCCAAGGATGTTCTCAAGAGGCGCATGAAAAACATTGAAAGAATTTGAAAGCCATGCCATTGACAAACACGACTTAGAATCAAGTTTTAATGAGCTTTTTTTCATAGTGAAGTTTTAAAAATAACAACTGAAAGCAAATACAAAATTCATTGCATCATAACGCCAGGCTGACGAAGTTGAAAGCCACAAAATGCCCCTGCAGTTGGGCATCAAAACGGCGCGAAAAGGCGAAGAAGATGCGCCCAAACATATCTAGCCTCCAATCACTGCATAATCCAATGAAGTGCAAGCTGCACGCATTCAACAAAAGTAACCATTAGAACAAGAAAAAACTGGGGATGCTTGATCTGCTATTTTCAGAGCAACATATCACCGGGTTCTGCCAGGACTCATTGCGTGGAGTGCAAAGAGTTCTTTCAGTTTGCGGGGGGACCCACGGATGAGTTTAATATGTTTCTAGTGCAAAATATGAGCGCATGAAATTTTTCAGTGTCTCATTTTGCCCAGCAGGTTGGGGCAAAATAAGACATGCGGCGCATTTTCTATTGCTTTTGAAAATGCCCCCTTCGAACTATGGCAACATGGTCATAGTTATGCACCACACACTTTCTACCCAAAGGGAAGTTTCTGCATTGACATCTAATAGTAAAAAGGGAAATAAAAGGTGATATATCCTATTTTAAATTTTTTTTTAGCATTTTACCTCACCCCACCTATACTTAGCGTGAGCTGCCTTCTGGCGACGAAGCCTTGCTAGACATGCTTCTGTTTGCTGCAGTGTCTCCGCAGCATGTTTAGCCTTTTTTTTCTGTTCATTGCATTACAAGCAGCGTGCCATAGAATACTCCAAAGCAAGAAAATAAACAATAGGACTAAAAAAGTATTCGTAAGGCTTTCGCTATTTTGCTTTAAAATCGGTGTTTCGGGTGTGACCTTATTTCTTAGTTCAGAGGGGTTGTGAACGCTGTGCTGGTTTTTTTGTTCCTTTGCAATTGTGACATAAAAAACGTATCTTGTAAGGTACCTGAATCATCACTCTTATATAACAATATTTCGTTTCGTGCGTGAATATTACATCAATTTACATACCAGTGTCAGTGCCGGAGTATTAGCGTCTCACGAAAAAGAAAAAAATTGTAGACACTTTAGAATTCAAGTGTATTGTGCACTTTCATTTCAGCTAGGTACTCCGTTGCTGTCGCAAACCGGATGCTGTCCCACCCAGAAGATGTGTCGCTAAGCCTGAAAGGTGTCATAAGCGGCAGTGGATTTCTTGGCCCAGTGTTGGAGATCGCAGAATCAAGCAGATTCCTCTACGAAATGTCTATGGTCGACGAAACAGGACGCGGACGCTTCAAACAGGAATTCGAAACGATGAAACTACTTGCAGCAAATCAATCTACAGCTCTCGGAGCAGTACTAATGCTGGGTGCTACAATATTCACCAGCTCTGAATCACCAACTCTATTTCAAGAGCTTACATTATTCAATGATCACGCGAGTCCTCTTTTTACAGAAAGGCCAGGTATCATGTATGCATGTGTTGTGGTTCTTAATTCAACATATATGAGACAAGCGCTCCATGTTGGAGGTGTACCTTTTCAATTTAACAACCCGCTCCTTCTGTCAAACCTTGCACCTGACTGGTTAGTAGAGATCAATGCCATGGTAGAAAAAGTACTAAATGAATCAAGCCTGCTTTCTTACATAGGCCAACTTGACACTCTTTTTCCCGCGGTGAATCAGAAAGCGTACTTCGCCAAACTGAATTGGACGCATGCAGATACGTATCGTAACACCAGCCATCAGCTCTGGAGGAAACCAGACAGGTATTATGGCCATGATGGTTATATAAAGAAAGTAGCGCATTTAACAGAGGCTGTTCTTCTGGGAATGAGTCACTACAGTTCTGCAGAAAAACCTGACGAAGTGTACTATTTGATAACAGAATTTGCGGCTAATTCATCAAATACTGCGAAAGTGGGAGTGATGATTGAGAATGCTAGAGTACAATAAACATTGAATTCTTATGTGTATGTGAACGTTGTATTAAATTATTGATTATTCAAGCCATGGGCCCCTAAGCAGTGCCTACACTTACTCAGGCTTTCTGTGCGTTAGTTTCACGAGCTCAAAAGTCCTAAATTTCGCTAGCAAATAATAAAAAATAATGAACACATTTTTTCTCATACGAACAACAGAAATAAATTCTTGGCTTTTAAACCATATTTTCACCTAGGCATACGATTTCTCATGTTTTTCTGCATACTTGTTTTTTTTTTTAAATATTGTATTGAGAAAGCTTCTGCACCGCATACGGCGATTAGTAAGTATACTAAAGTGGCACGTATGCGTAACCTAAAAAAGTGATGCAAAGGCTGACAAAGTATAATGGGCAATAGACATACCAGACGAACACTTTCTATTGCAGCACAGCCAAGACTACAGGAACAAAACACACACTTTTCAAAACGAAAGTGTTTTGTGCAGGTGTCCATGAAGATTTTAGTGACGTATTTTTGCTACGGAAGGGATGCCGGAAAAATGCGCACTATCAGATGGCATCAAAAAACTTAAAAAAAGGCAGATCCCACGTACAATGTGAATAGATACGCGAAGCATTAATGAGGAAAGTTGATATGTCACTTTAAAATAACCACAAAATTACGAAGAAGAGGTAAATTCTGGCGCACACGACCTACGTGCCATGGTTCTCATGTTTGGATCTGTCGTTTACCTTCGTCATCTATTCACGTCACGAGATGCCAAACTTAGTATATGTGAAGCTAGCGAAACGGCCGCGAGCATGCTATAAACATGATATGTTGTCATGTTCTTCTATGATGCGTGTCATGATTATCACGTTTGCACCAGTCATATACTATCGTCATCTAATGACGTCACATGACACCGAATTTGGCATATGTGGAGCTTGCGAAATGGCCACGAGTGCATCATGAAGGGCCCAATATACTCTGACGTGACGTTGACGCGCGCTCACGCTGGGCACCGAGACGCTATACGTTAGCAAAACGCGAGAACTTTATAATCTCACGCCAGGTGCGACCAGCGTCCATCGGCGCGGCTCGTTGGCAACCGGCGCGAAATGCGACATGCTGCATTTCGCACCGATTCGTTACCCAGGCAGCACTGCGTCTGCCTCTTTTCGTGACGGAGGGACGCTGGACGCGATGAAACACGCATGTGTCAAAGCAGCGCGGCGCACACCTGCGAGTATACGGCAGGACCGGCGCCTCCCGTAGCCAGGCCGGCGTGACGCGACGAAACTAACGCTGCCGCGCACGCGCGCCGTGTCACGTCGAAGTGTATTGGCGCCTTGACTGTGCCATGTAGACATGTTGTCACATGACACGGATCTCATGATTGTTATGTTTGCACCTTCGTCATCCGTTGACGTCACGTAATACCGAATTTGGCTTATGTGAAGCTAACGAAACGGCCGGGAGCGCATCATGAGCGTAGCGTGTAGTCATGCTGTTACATGACACGCATCTCCCGTTTATCATGTTTGCACCAGTCACATACCTTCGTCATCCATTCACGTACCGTAATACGCAATTTTGTATATGGGACGCTAGTGAAATGGCCGTGAGCGCATCATGAGCGCGGCGTGTACTCATGTTGTTACATGACACGCATGTCATGAATTTCATGTTAGGTTCTGTCGCTTGTATTTACCATGCAATCATGTCATACCATACCAGTTTTGCAACATGTCATGTGAACGAAACCACCACAAGAGAGCAAGACCATGAAATGTAAATCATGACGATAATGTCATACATCTCATGATGTTCATGTTATGACTAATTAAATGTGCTCGTCACAGAGTCATGTTATACCATAATAAGTTTGGTATCGATACCATTATCCAAACGGCCCAGGAGAGCTAGAAGTCGTAGGCGGCTAGACGCACACACACACACACACCACACACACACACACACACACACACACACACACACACACACACACACACACACACACACACACACACACACACAGACACACACAGACACACACAGACACACACACAGGCACACACACAGACACACACACACACACAGACACACACACAGACACACAGACACACACACAGACACACAGACAGACACACACACACAGACACACACACAGACACACAGACAGACACACAGACAGACACACAGACAGACACACAGACAGACACACAGACAGACACACACACAGACACACACACAGACACACAGACAGACACACAGACAGACACACAGACAGACACACACACACACACACACAACACAGACAGACACACAGACAGACACAAGACAGAACAGACAGACACACAGACAGACACACAGACAGACACACACACAGACACACACCAACACACAGACAGACACACACACAGACACACACACACACACACACACACACACACACACAGACAGACAGACAGACAGACAGACAGACAGACAGACAGACAGACAGACAGACAGACAGACAGACAGACAGATAGATAGATAGATAGATAGATAGATAGATAGATAGATAGATAGATAGATAGATAGATAGATAGATAGATAGATAGACAGACAGACAGACAGACAGACAGACAGACAGACAGACAGACAGACAGACAGATAGAAGATAGATAGATAGATAGATAGATAGATAGATAGATAGATAGATAGATAGATAGATAGATAAATAGATATAGATAAATAGATATAGATAGATAGATAGATAGATAGATAGATAGATAGATAGATAGATAGATAGATAGATAGATAGATATGGATAGATAGACAGACAGACAGACAGACATTATTATGTATTTTTACATAAGAAAATTACGTTATTTTTTTTCTCTAGTGCAGCATGTAACACTCAAATGAAAGCAAATAATTATATCTCCCCGAGGGCTACCAAACAATGATGCCAGCGAACACTGCTGTCGCAGACGATGTGGTTCAACGCCACGCTCAGCAAGCGCCTGCGCATGCGTGAGCGGCTGCTGGAGCGTGACTGCAGCGCTGGCCGCAGTGCGATGCCATGCGCTCCGATATTTCTCCAAAGTCTGAAACACACGTATTGGTCTTTTGCTGCTTACCACAGGTGCCCGCGAAATGCAAATAAACTCGCAAGCATTTCCTCGAGGGTGAACATGGTTAAGTGCGAATGCACGGGGTGATGCTATAAGGGGGAGTAAGGTAAAATCTGTTGGCATTCGCCAGTGAGTTAACGTAAACTCCCCCGTGTGATCACATTGCGATTCCCAGGAACCATTAGACCCTCTCAGAAAATCTTGGTAAGTTGACGCGTATATGTGAGAGTAAATTCACACTGTAATGATGTTTATGTCCGCGGCCCGCTTGCGCTCGGCATCACGGGCCCTTCGCCGCACTGCCTTGTCTTCAACCGGCGCGACATCTTCAACGACGCGTGCAATGCTCTCACTCTATTGCGCTGTACTCGTTGTAGGAGGTATCGCATTCGAGGTTGATGCGTGCGATGGATCCATACCTATGATGACTTGCCGATCTCGAGCAAGTCGTGGCTGCCACGCGCAGCCACGGAGCGGAGGGCGGAGTGCGCGCAATCACGGGGTGTGTGATTGCTACAGATCACGGAGGAAGGTCCTCCGTGCTACACATGCTTCTCTCCGCTCCTCGCACCAGTGCTAGGGGAGAGGAGGAGGCGCACCGTGGACGGCGGATTCATTGTCGCTTATAAAGTGCATTCGCACTTTAAAGAAATGTAGCGCATGACAAGCCCGCTTGCACGTCTATGCACGCAGTGTTTGTAGTGCTCTCTGACGTTACGCGTGCAAACGACTATAGCACTTGGGCGTGTGCGTTGCCTCAACAACACAGCGACTGTGGCAGTGGTTGTGCGATGACACACCTTTTGCTAGTGGCAACACAAGTGCTTCTGCTTATCGCTGTCAAGAATCGTTGCCAGAGAAATGCCTCGTTTGTATGCGTAACATTAGGAAGCACTTCAGTCATGCCCCCCCCCCCCCCCAGGCAAGCCGGTATGTCCTGGGGTATTTTTAGTGTTTAGCGGGCATTTGTAGTAAGCATAAAACAGTGATAAATAGCGTACCTAAATGTATATACTTGCTCGTTGGATGTTTAGCAAAGCGATATACATTTTTTCTACATAGGATATTTTGCCAGCTTCGTTATTTAAAATAATTATGGACCATCTCCCCCGAAGGAAACCACAATGGGATGCAAAGCAGCAGCGGTGCGCCCCCTGCTGGCCTGGCAGAAACGGGCATTGACGCGGGTGCTGGAAGAACGGTGTGAAGCGAAACCCAGTGTAGCCATTTCTCGAGTAAACTTTTCTTTGAAACACAAAGACATGGGAGGCGGGTTAAGGCTTCATGTAAGTTTCATCGCAGATAAACAAGCCAAAAGAGTGTTTGCACTCGACGTGCGGTCGAGCGTTGTGGGCGGTGAAAAGGGTGAAGCGAGCGAGAAGTGTGTTGCGAGTGGGTGGGGGAGCCGGCAGCGTGGGCGCCGTGGCAAGCGTGCAGTGGGTGAGGGAGAGAAAGACGTGAGCGCGCACCTGCGAGAAAAGCGCGTAAAGTGCCAACCACTGGCATGCGTATGCACGCGTCTACGCGTCAAAAGCGTCTAGTCACGCCTGGGGAGGAAAAGGGCGCGCAACCACTGGCACGCGTCAACCACGTTGACCCCCACGCGTCCAAGGCTGATGCACAATGTTGCTTGGCCTTGGCTTAGAACTGTCGAAGTTCAGCACAGAATGCCACATTCCTAACTGGAACGGGTTTATATTGTCGCGACGTCAAGAGAGAGGTCGTACTCGAAGACGCTGAGAAAACAGCAGCGGGTCGGTCTTTTTGTTAACCGCGTGAGAGAGAGTTCGTCATCTTTCTCGTTGTTGCGTTCTGCATAAAAGCGTGCAGATGTGCGTATGCGCTGTCGCCTTCGTCTTTTTCGCGGGACGCACGTGACATTTGCCTCCCTCCGAAAATGGCATCGTCCCGATGCGCAGCCAAGGCACT